CAGTGTATAGGAATGTGTGTGTCTGTCAATGAGTGCATGCGTCTGTCAGTGAGTGAGCGTCTGTCAGTCAAAGTGCGGCCTTGACAGGAAGGAATGGGGAAAAGGGGGGGTGCTTGAGCACCGTTCTGCCTAGGGCAGCACAAATCCTAAATACACCATTGCCAATTAGTCTGCCATACTAAAGAGAAGGTTACCAACCATAAACTGGTACTATAAGCACTGCTTGCTGGAAACATGCAACAAAGCAACATTGAATCATTTGCACTGATGTTGGACCCGACTGGTCTTTGTAACAAGCTGATGGTTTCATATCTCTGCATTACTGTTAGATACATTGTTATACAATACACTCCAATACTGCATTGTATATGACTTCTGTTTATAGAATACACTATAATGCTTGCTCTTAAAAGTTGTACAGAAAATATATTTCTATCTATGGCTTGAAATAAAGAGAGAGAGAAAAAAGTGGTGTTTTTTTGCATGTGCAAATTATACTCTCAAAAATTCTATTAAAATGTTCTGGGAGTATTGCCAGGCCCTTATACGGCCACCCCCCAAAACAAGCTATGAACCTGTCTAAATGTCACAAGTTTTTATTTTAAACTTTCTTGAAGCATGCATAGCATTTATTAAAACCCACAAGACTATCTTTCTTACTGACGCTGACAGGCGAGTCAGACTGGTTTTAAAATCTACCGGGACGAAGCCAGAGGAGAACGAGAGAAGAATACGTCTAAGAAAATAAAGGAGGACTTTAGCAAACAATATGGTTCACTAAACTGGGAATTAGGGAAAATAACAAAATAATAACAAATTCAAGGGCAAAATAGCTAAAAATGTAATGTTTCCTACTTAATGGTTATTCCAGCTCAGGATTAAAAACAATGGGCAAAAAACATCATATGACTGGAAATAAAGTTTTAATTCAAAACAAATCTTTAAGTATTAGTGGAAAATACGTTTGACAATTTATTCAAGAAATGTTGTGACAAAACAGACATTAGTCAGATAAAAGTAATTGGGCTGAACTGCCAATTGCAGAATCAATAAATCTTTATGGAAGTATAGTTAGTAGTTGAGGGGACGACAGATAGGGCTCATTCACTAATCAATGAATTCTAAAAATTAGGATAAAGTAACAAATCTGGGAGCAGAGAATAGTTGGAGACTTTTCCTTGCATTTTGCAATTGGACTTTAAATTTACTAAGTTTTGGTGTTAAGTGAATAAGCTCCAGATAAATATTTATTATTACTATATGTAACGGACCGTTTTGCCCACAAGAGGTTAAAAACCATTTAGGCGATATTCCCCCCTCAGATGCACAGGCAGCTACTGCAAGCACCAATCTCCCGAACTGCAAACACACAAATTCACCAACTCCCGAACAGGAAACACACAAACCCTGGAAACAGCTGAACAGGAAAAGCATACACTCAGCTTACACCCCTGGCAATCGGCATACCATCCAATTCCCCCAATAACGAGACGACACTTCGTTTTGAGGGTCAAGCAGAATCTGGTTTACTGAGGCTAACTGCCCGGCTTTTATGCAGGTCTCCCACCTGGTGGACACTCCCCTAGGGGACCAGATGGGAAACTGGGAAACATATTGGCCCTTAGCCAATCACATACATACACCTTTAAACACTCCCACAATTACATCACAATCCCTCCTCTCTGTCCAGGAGATAATTGGGAAGTAATCCAATTATCTCCAAGGACAGAGGCAAAACTCCATTACACACATTTTCAGTAAAAGACATAAAATTACACACAGTCACATTTATTACATAAAACATATACATCCTACCTATCCCCAGATAGCTTAGATCTGAGCGCACATTCCTACCGAATGGCGCTCAGATCACATACATACAGTTCAATCGCCATGGAGCCAAGGTCTTTCCCATAGTCTTTCGTTACACGAATAGGCTCCACGGCTTAGCTATCTGGGGTGATGCTTTTCATCCGGTTAAACTACCGAATGAACAGTCAACACACCGAATGGAGAGGTAAGGAGGCTGGCGGCTCAGCGGTGTTCTCGCCAATAAGTGTCCATTTTCAGTTCCATAGTTTGGGCAGACGAACAAAGGCCACCCAGCGTTCATCAATTAAGCTGCGGTTAACTGCAGCTTCTGGGCGATTAATTGACGGCACACTCCAGTTCCCAGGTGGTCCATCGTTCGGTAGTTTGTTCGGTAGATTGAATCTACCGAACACCCCGGCAGAAAGGCACAAATAAACCTTTCAGCAGAGGAAATAACAGGGCTGAACTGCAGGGCCATAGTCTAAAGGAAGCAGGTGAGCAACCAGGCTTCTCCAGTGCATAGTGGCGAGGTTGGTTCCGCCACACTATACTTTATTTATAAAGCACCAGCGCATTCTGCAGTGCTGTACATTGTTACAATTGGTAAAAGTAGAAAGACAAAGGCACAATACAGCTGAGACAATATTAAATATTAAATTAAATATTAAATAAAACAAATACAGGAATTTACATTAATAACAATACTAATAATAATACGGTTTTAGCATTTGTTGTTTTTAAGGTTAATGCTACTACACCACTGAAACACAAACACACACCTACGTTAACCCTTAATGCTACTACACCACTGCATCCAATTTTGAACTTTAAATTTTTTATAAAATATTTTATTAATATATCAATTTTATATAATGTATGTTTTTTACATTGAGTCCAGCAGTGTATTTTCTGAAACCACTGCATCGCCATAAATTTTGCTTTATTGCTTTATTTTATACTTTTTATATATATATGAGAACAAGATACAACAAATACAGGGTGCGCTAAGTTGGACAATGAGAGATAATAAACAAAAATCAGCAATAATATGAACGTGGGGGTCAGTGGGGGTTAACATCTCCTCTGTTAACCCTGGGGCCAAGTTAGGAGTTAGCTGGGGAGGGGAAATCGTACTTACCCCCTCCTCCTGTTGTCCCTGTGAGAGTAGTTGGGGATCTGGACAGGCTGTCCAACATCCCTGTGGGTCAGGCACAGAGACCACGGTCCCATCTGCGCCATCTAGAAGATTTGTTTCTCCCCTTGGTAGGGTAAGCTGCCGCTGGGGAGGGAGACCAACTGTCTCCACTCCCGTAACATTATCCTGCTGCTGGGGAGAGAGACCAACTTTCTCTGCCCCCTGTAGGACACACTGCTGCTGGGGGGAATGACAACACCTTTGGACCCCTGGAATTCACACTGCCGCTGGGGAGGAAGGGCGACAACTTCGGCTCCCTGGAACTCACACTGCCGCTGGGGAGGAAGGACGACACCTTCGGCTCCCTGGAACTCACACTGCCGCTGGGGAGGAAGGACGACACCTTCAGCTCCCTGTAACTCGCACTGTCGCTGGGGAGGAAAGACAACACCTTTGGCTCCCTGGGACCCGCACTGCCGCTGGGGAGGAAGGACGACACCTTCGGCTCCCTGTAACTCACACTGCCGCTGGGGAGGAAGGGCAGCACCTTCAGCTCCCTGGAACTCACACTGCCACCGGGAGGAAGGACAACACCTTCGGCTCCCTGTAGGGCCGGTAGAGAGACCTCGGTCCCATCTCTACCTGCCATCTGGAGGTCATCCCAGGACCAGTCAATGAGGTCTGGTTCTGCTTGTCGGGTAGGTTGGGGCTGCACGAAGCTGAGCAGGTGTTGGTAGTCCTGCTCCAGCTCCCACTCCCTTGTTACCAGGTGGGTCATGTCTTTGCTCACCTTGCATTCGTCAACCCAGACATACATGCCCATCCGGTAGTTGTAGATGTCCCAAAACCTAGACCCCCTCCGTGCTGCCAAGATCAATGTCGTCCTCCAAGGCATCCCATAATAAACCTGGGCCATCATAATCATCCCCCTCCGGTAAGTCGTGCTCGGCCGTCCAGGGGGTAAGTCGAACGGTATGCCACCAGAGGGCCTGGTATGCGTTGTATAGCCAGATCTCTCGCCATACCAGGGTCTCTAGTCTTGTCACCCACTCATCCAGGGGCTGCTCTCCCAATAGATACATCTGCATCGCCACACGCTTCTGTAGCCGCTGCTCATCACTGGGGAGACTCTCACCTCACCGCCATTGGGCATCTTCCAGGGCATCATACCAGAGTTCCCTTCTGTCTGCATCCCTGTAGTCCGCGGCCGCCTCCTCCTCCTCATCATGGAACGCTGTCCGAAAACTAGCAGATTCCATCCTGCTGTAGCCAGGGGCGCTGTACGGATACTAGCGTTGCCCTCAATTTGTAACTCCAAACATTACCAGTGTCTCCAAGCTGCTTTTCCTCGCACTAGGACGCCATTCCACCGCTGCCACCACTGTAACGGCACTCCCTGTACTCCGACCACTCGTTGAAGGATGCTCCTAGCGCTTCCTGAGGACTCCAAGCACTGCAGCAGACACCACAACCACCGCAGACTCCGCAACTGCTGTAGCTTGACTGGAGTCTCGCCGTCTTCCTTCCACCCCGGATCAGCTTCTGTCCTCCAGGACCGTGTGGGAAATACCTCTTCCTTCCACCCTGTATGAACCTCCAACATCCAGGACTGTGTGGTGAAGACCTCTCCTCCAAGTAGAGCGTGTCAGGAACAAGATCTTAAAAGAGCCAAGTGATTCAAGCTCAGGGGAGTATGCAGAACATAGCAATCCCCAGTGTGATTATAACAGCTCCCTCCAATAACGAGACAAGGCTACATTTAGAGCGGTCAAGAAGAACTGTCTAAACCTTTATTTCCCATGGGACCAGCCCATAGGGTCACCACAATAACATTGTTGTGAAACCTCAATAAAATCACAAACAGTCAAACCACAGCAGGCAACACACAGTGACTTATCACAACACAATGGCACATTTTTAAAGGGGTGGGGGAGACAATATTTAACAGTAAATATCTCACCTGCCTGCAGAATTAGCAATATGCAAATCTACCCGAACATGCAAATGAACCAGTCTTGCAATTCAGGTAGTGCATATTGCTGTTGCTACCAACAGAGGGCACTAGACAAGCTCCATAGCCAAACCCACCTAGTTGGTAGCAAACCTCAGCAGTACAGGAGAGCAGGCAATACATTTCACAGTACACACACACACTATAAACAATTACATTACACACACCCTGCACCTATAATGGGTACAGGGTGACTAAAACATAACATAAATAAAGCAGCCTACATAAATAGTCTGTCTGAAGGTAGACTAGGGGCTTTAATGCCAAATACATGAAAGAGTCATAGTCACAGGGGAGGAGGCTGGCAAGCAGGCCTCTCCAGGACCAAGTGGCGAAGGGCACTTCGTCACAGTAGTCTTAATACAACTAACACATCTTGGAATATCCTTACCTTTACCCTTCGGAAAAATCAGAAAAATACTTAAGCACATAATTAAACACATTATTCTTGTGATCCTCATCTTAATTCTTTGACCATGCGACGGCACCTCAGCTTCCTGCTTGTGAGGGCTGCAAGGATTGTAGTACTTATGATCCTCACTTACCTTCACAGAGGTCCCTTCGAGATACTCTGACTATGAAACGTAGGCAGATGGTCAGGCTTTATTATGGTCTTCAAAACACCTACTTGTTGATATCTGCAACTTTAAACCACAATTCTTCAAAAATCACCTCATACTTCTCAAGTCACGCTCAATTCGACTGGGTCATGCGCTTCAACTGGATCTTGCAAGGATTCTCACGATCTGGAGTAGCTTGCCAGGAATCTGCCGCTGGTTTAACCCTAGAGTGATGAATCCAAGGTGTCACCTCTGCCACCTTTGCAGCTCCTTCTTTACACAATGCTCCATGGGCATGAGTTGTTAAGAAGGCATATCTTGAATCCGTATACATGTTCACTCTCAACCCCTCAGCTAGTTGCAAGGCCCTTGTCAGTGCGATTAATTCCGCCTTCTGTGCTGATGTCCCTTTCGACAATGGTCATGCTTCTATCACCTTGTCTATGGTGGTTACCGCATACCCGGCATACTGAATACCTTCTTTTACAAAGCTACTACCATCCATATAGTACTGTATATCTGGGTTCTGGATGGGAAAATTATGCAGATCTGGCCTGCTAGAAAATACTTCATCCATTATTTCCAGACACTCATGTTGACTTTCAGCAGTCTGTGGCAGAAGGGTAGCTGGATTGAGATTGTTGACAGTCCCAAGATGTACTCTTGGATTCTCGCATAGCATAGCCTGATACTTGGTCATTCTGCTATTGCTGAACCAATGATTACCTTTGTAATCCAGTAGGGTCTGTACTGCATGAGGTACTCGCACATAGAGTTCCTGACCCAATGTAAGTTTGTCAGCTTCCGCTACCAACAAAGCTGCAGCAGCCACTGCTCGTAGACAAGGTGGAAGACCACTGGTCACCGCATCCAACTGTTTGGACAAGTAGGCTACAGGTCTTTGCCATGATCCTAAGTACTGAGTTAACACTCCCACGGCCATTCTTCTTTGCTCATGCACATATAGGTAGAAAAGACGCAAGTGATCTGGTAGGCCTAGTGCTGGGGCACTCATAAGTGCTTTCTTGATATCTTCAAATGCCTTCTGTTGCTCTGTGGTCCATAGGAAGGGATCATGTTCTGTGCCTTTTACAGCTTCATACAAGGGTTTCGCCAATATCGCATAATTAGGAATCCATATCCTACAGAATCCTGCTGCTCCCAAGAATTCTTGCACTTGTCTTCTATTCATGGGTACAGGTATTCGACACACTGCTTCTTTTTTTTCAGGTCCCATTGTTCTTTGACCTTCAGAGATATGGAATCCTAAATACTTGACAGTTGGCTGACACAATTGCGCCTTCTTCCTTGATACCTTGTAACCTGCCCTCCAAAGAATATGGAGTAGATCATGGGTTGCTTGTTGGCACATCTCTTTAGTAACTGCAGCTATCAAGAGATCATCCACGTACTGAAGCAATACACATTCCCCTGGGATGGATTTGAAGTCTTGTAAATCTTGACTCAGTGCAGATCCAAATAAGGTAGGCGAATTCTTGAATCCTTGAGGCAACCTGGTCCAAGTCATCTGACACTTTGATCCCGTAACAGCATCTTCCCATTGAAAAGCAAAGATGCACTGACTTTCAACAGCAAGTCAAAGGCAGAAGAAAGCATCTTTAAGATCTAGGACTGTAAAGTGAGTTGCCCCACCAGGAATTAGGGCAAGCAGATTATAGGGGTTGGGTACCACTGGGTGTATATTAACTACTGCATCATTAACTGCTCTTAAATCTTGTACAGGACGATACTCATCTGATCCTGGTTTCTGAACAGTTAATAATGGAGTGTTCCAAGGGGAGGTACAGAATTTTAGGATACCATACTTTACGAACTTATCCAAGTACGTCTGTATGTTCTTCTTGGCCTTCTGAGGTATGTGATACTTGCATAGGCTCACAGGGTAGGCCCCAAGCTTTAGTTAAATATGTATCGGTGGGATATTATGAGCAAGTCCTGGAGGATTATTCTCTGCCCATACTCCTAGAATGTCAAATAAAGATCCATCACTCTTAGGGTTTGCATTTGTTATTACAGAGTAGAAGCTCCATTCTTCTTCTTTTGGTACCAATACTGCTATCATGCCTGGTGATTTATTAAACTTCAGAGACGTTGATCCATTAGGTAGAAAAGTTATCTGAGATTGAAGCTTTAATAATAGATCTTGTCCTAGAAGTTGAATTGGACACTCTGACATATATAGGAACTGGTGCTTCACAAATGGCCTCCTAAAATGCAAGTGTAGCAAACTCACCCCTTTAAGAGAGGTTGCCATGAGCTTTTGGAGGGGCTTGCTTGCCCGTCTCCTGCCATGTGACTATGGCCCTGGGGGTATTGCCCTTTAAAGACAGTATTTGGGCATGATAGATTTTTATTATGCGGCTACTTTAAGCACAGTGTATGGACTTCTATTAGACTGTGTATAGATGGTGTATAGGAAGGTGTACCCCTCCCCTGTTTCCTGTCCCATTGTTCTCCAGCAGGGCGTTGTCCCAGGCACACTGCCTGACTAGTTGGAACTGGTTTGGGCTGGAAAGTTTGGGCTGGAAAGCCATGCTTCAGTGGGCCTAAAGGGACCTCCACAAAACTTTAAACCCCCATAACTCCTGAACCCCTGATCTGATCTGGGTGATTTTTGGATATGTGTCTCACCCAGATCAGGGCTACCATGGGATGTAATATTTAAAGGGGTACTCCTAGGTTTAGGGGTACATCCAGAAAACCAGGGGAACTGTGTCCTACATAATGGGATTATGTGTCACACTAAGGGGAGGGGATGCATGGGTGGCAACTCGTGTATGATTGGTGTATTGTGTAATTACTGTAGAAGGTTGTGTGATTAAAAGTTCAGTTCTACTCCTGATACTGTGTGTCGTCCAGTGATTGGGGAAAGTGATGGGATATTATTGGATTGTAATGCTGATTGTGCTGGATATTCTCTTGGATTTATTACTTGTTCCTTCCTGCATCCTCTTAAAGTACTTGGTGGAGTTTAGCTGTTTAGCTAGGTTCTGGCTACCATGGACTCCACTGTTCCTCTTGGCACAGCTTGATCTATTTAGCAGTGTTTCAACAATCTGTATACAGAAACTACTCGTTTAGCCCCAGCATATTATTTATAACAATTTAAACCTGCTGTATTAAATCTGGATCAAGGATCCATAGGAACACTGGTTACCAGAACAGGCCGTCCTCTGCTACACAGAGTATTTTAATCTTTTGGGGGACAGTGTTACACCATAATCACAAACAGCATATTCCTTAGAAAAGTGTTTTTTTTTTTTTTTTTTAAAACATACAAGACAAAGGACCGTTTGTGAATCAGAAGCACCCACGATTTCAACAGAGCGTCTGATTCAAAGCAGTACAAATATACAAACAGTTTCAACAGTCACACCAGTTACCTTAGCAACAGCACCACGCGGCACAGTTACTAGGCCCAAACATACACGTACACACACGCACAGGATCCTCACACGCTCAACAATATCACGACGTCGCACACACGAAATTAAAAACCCACCAAAGACTATACACTTATCAACGTAACTATTATTCAAACCATACAATTATCCCCACTATTAATCTACATAAACTAACCGATCACATTTCAACAATTTCGTCTCTACAGTCAGTGGTTATGGTACGGTTAGTAACTATTGTTCAGTTTAGACAATTATGGTTTTAAAGTTACAATATCAGTTAGTAGGTTAAACAGTAATTTTAGTATTTTTCACGTAATATCAGTAGTTATGGTAAAAGTCAGTGGTTATGGTACATGTAAGTGGTTATGGTACATGTAAGTGGTTATGGTACCATGCGCTATTTTACACTATACACACAATTTACACGTCCACTAAACAGCAGAGCTCAAGCTTTCTAACAGGACATACAATTCACCAATTACAACCTATTTAACAACATTTACAGCAAACCCAACTACTCTAATTGGCCAGTACCTCGAGAACTATCGAACTATTTACATCAGGATTCGGTAAGTCTACACTGCCCAAGCACCACATATAGCGAACTAGTGGGCGGAATTTACAACAGTACCCATTTAGTCTATCTACTCTATCAATAGTCTAGTGGCTGAATTTACAACAGAGCACACTTAGCCAAGATAGGTTGAGAGCTACCAGACGGAATGTACACCAGAATCTGCTTAGTCTCGCCGGCCTCCCCGACCTAGCGACCGAAATTTACACCTAGACACGCTAGTCAAGACAGGACACCGGTGTCCGGCATAAACTATTTACACCAAGATTTAGCCTTACCCAAACCACCTATATTAGACGGGCTGACTACAGAGCGTCTAATTTCCAGATAAGCCTTCGCTTCCTCCCTCCAGAGGGAGGGGGCAATCCAATAACCGGTTCCAAATATAAAACCCCTTGTGGGCCTACCGCTCTAACGGTATCAGTCTTACCTCTTAGTTCCTGGACCTGGGTTCACACTCATCGACGGGACACCCCAGTACTCACTGCGTATAAGCTGATGATCTCCTGGACAACAGGCCAGTGGCAAGGAGACGAAGGGAGGTCCACGCAGTAGAAGTCCAGGGGTGCAGCCATGGAGAACGTTGGTAAAAAGTTTACCGTCTCAAATCTCTGTGCCAGCTTCTGTGCAATGAGGTTCCCGGTCAATACACCAAAACTGTTACCGGAGGAATAACAGGAACAAACCGCAGAAGCCACACATAGAGATATGGGCACAAGTCTTCAGGAAGTAACAGGTCTTTTATTTACACACCGATCGAGTCTCACACTGAATTTGTGTTCAAAAGATATGAGCCCAGAGCATTG